GGGACCGGTGGCCACTCACTGGCTGTTGGTGAGAGCAGCTTCCAGCCCAGGTCAGGAGGGTGGCGAACCCCTGGCCCCTCGGCCCCAGGCGTCTGTGAGGGTGTTGAGTGTCTGAGGGCCGTACCAGGTCTAGTACCGGGCCAGGTCACACATGTGTGCGCCCTTTCCTGACACTTCTCGGCTGCCGCAGCACAGGGCCTGAGTTGAACTTGGTTTGGCCAAGGGCCAAAGCAGATGTTGAGGTGAAATGGTTCTCGGTGCCCGGGCATGTGCCTCTTTGTCCCAGGGCAGCAGGCCCCACTGTGGGCCCAGCACTCCCTGACCAGCTGGCATTCAGTTTCCTTGTCTGTGAAAGTGAAGGGTGCCAGGGTATCCACCAGATACCAGTGGAATGTGGCTGACAGATGCCATGTCCCAGGCCACACTGTCCACACCCAGCATGCAAGCTCCCAGGAACATGGCGGGTGTCCTCGCCACTGACCCGCCTTGTCCCTAGTCACAGGGCACTGCCAGCTACACTTTGCACTCTGATGACCTCAAGCACTTCCAAGGCTGCCCTCCAGGAGAGCGGCTCAGTGGCTCTGCGAACATAAGCAGGCCAGGAGAGGAGCTGCAGGGATGCAGCGTTCACCTCCCTCCTTACCACGTGACCCCTCACACCTCTTCTTGGTGTCTAAAATGAGCACCCCCTTCCCCGTTGCCCAGTCCAGCCTCTTCAGGGGAGCTGCTCATGTCTCATGTAGCATTAAATCAACTGTGAATCATTGCAGGGAGGGGCCACTAGCCTCAACCTTCTGGGCCAGGGCGCTGAGACTCCGCAGGAGGAGCTGGTCCCCGTGCCTTGCCACAGTGGCCTACCCAGCTGTTCACATGGAACCAGACTGCTCTTGGGGAGAGACCCCATGGCCCAGCACTGCAGCCTTGGAGCTGCGAGGTTCGGGTTGTAGAGAACTCTGTAAGCAATAAAGTTTGTGTTGATGACAGTGTTTCCAGGCTGTGGGTGTCTGCACTCTTACCTGCTGCTCCAGGAACCGGAGGAGCCTCAGCTGCCTGCCTTGGCCTTCTGGTGGGATCTTTCCTTGCCTCCTCTCATTTTGGTCAAGGACCACATCAACCCTAAGTGGGGCTGTTTCCCCATGTCTTGGTTGGGACTGACTGCAGCCTCACCCTGAGCCGTCGTTCAGACTGTCGGCCAGCGGCATCCAGGAAGACCCTGGCAGGACACTGCCAGGCCAGGCCAAGGGCAGGAGGGGAGGGTTCAAGGCACCAGTCAGCCAACCAGGTAGCAGCAGATGAGGAGTGAGGGGTAGGTTGTTGGGCACCACCTCCACTTCCCTGTCCCCAAGGCGTGGCGTCCAGGGTACTGACCTGGGTGTAGGCCTGGACCTGGACACCGGCTGGGATTGGAGGTAACTTTCCAGGTATGAAACCCTTGGTCCTGGGCCAGGCACCTGCAGCTCTTCATTTCAGGTGGTTCTCCACCCCTACAGGGCTGCATGCATCTGTTCGTTTGGGTTCAGGCAGCTGGTTCTTGGAGCTGTCCTTGGCCCACGAAAGGGCAGCGGCCTTGTGCCCTGTGTACCAGAGCTGGTGTGGCTCAGCCCTGCACACTCCACGCTTACCGAAGCTGCCCTTCCCACTGCTCCCAGCCTCCGCAGGTCTTCGGTCTTCCCAGAGGCGCCTGGCTTCTGGAAGGGGCAGTCTCTGGAGGACACCACCCCCACCCACACCTGAGCCCTGTGTCCTGTGGGGAGGTGGCGGGACGTCACAGACGCGACAACATCACAGGCGCCCGCACACTTAATATCTCCGGCGCCCCGCACCTCCAGCCAAAGAGCGCACTGGAGGCGGAGGGGCAGCAGCCACCAAGCCCGCTCCCCGCCTCCCCGACGGAGCCTCGGTCAGCATGGGGGTGACAGGTGGGAGCGGGCGGGCGGGCGCGCAGCCGGTGGGGGCGCCCATGGGGGGCGGGGTCCGGATCCGGATGGGGAAAGTGAAAGTGAGCGGGGCGGGGCGCGGAGGGAGCTGACCGGAATCAGCCAGGGGGTCCCGCCCTCTACTTCCAGCCCCACCCCCCCCAAATACCTGCAAGGGAGTTCGACTCTAAAACCCCTTCCGGGGCCCCTGACTACCACTCCTAACCTTGGCCTCTGCGCACGTATGCAAATTGTGTGAGCACCGGAACACCTGCACACCTTGGGGGTCGAGGCCGCAGATTCAGCGGTTCTTGGAAGGGTTCTGGCCTTGTCCCCAGGAAACGACTCATGAATGATCCCAAACTGCGCATAATTAAAAAACTCACATCCCCGATTGAGGCTTGGAGTTTTGCAGAGGGGATTATCTTGTCCAATTTTTCAGGGTTTTGCTGTAGCGCATGCGCTCACTGGAGAGCAGCGCGGAAAGATAAATCACTGCCCGGGAATGGCCAGGCCACAACCCCTCTCCATTGATTTTCAAGCCGCTGTGGTAGGCCATGTGGGAATCCACTGCCTTCACCACCGCGCCACCGGTTGACCCCAGTCTTGTCAAATATTTACTGAGCACCTCACTGGTGCCTTGTACTCTCCCGTACCAATGAGCGAAGATGCAGCCGGAACATCACAGGGTGGCCTCTCAGCATCTGAGCCTCCCACCCAGCAGAGAGAGGGCTTTCTTCTTTGGACTCTCATGAGGCATTGAAAATGTGCCAGGGCCTGTAGATGGCCTAGCGGTACATCACTGGACTCCCACGTGGCTGACTGTGGTTCAAATCCCAGATCCAGTGGTTTGAAAGTCACGCTGGGCGGGTGTGCATGCATGCCCAAGATCCTGGGAGGAGAGTGGAAAAGGGATTGCAGTGTGGACCTCCTCACTGGGGGGGTGATTTTTCACTTTCCATCTCACCGTCTCTCTCTCTGGCGATGCCTAGCGGTACATCACTGGACTCCCACGTGGCTGACTGTGGTTCAAATCCCAGATCCAGTGGTTTGAAAGTCACGCTGGGCGGGTGTGCATGCATGCCCAAGATCCTGGGAGGAGAGTGGAAAAGGGATTGCAGTGTGGACCTCCTCACTGGGGGGGTGATTTTTCACTTTCCATCTCACCGTCTCTCTCTCTGGCCATTGCACGTGCCCTATGGCAAAAACCTCTACCAAAAAAAAAAAAAGAAAAAATGTGTCAAGGTCAGCAGGTGGCACAGAGGTTAAGGTAGCTGGGTCCTACGTGACTGACCACACGGTTGTAGTCCTGGACTCCACGGCTTGAAAAACTCCCAGGGTGCATATGTGAGTGTGCCCAAAATCCCAAGAAGAAAATGCGAGAAGGGACTGTGGCACAGCCATTTCCCCTGGGGGTGATTTCTCACTCTCTCCCTCTCTCTTTGTCCCTCTCTCTGGCAAGCATGGCCATCCCCGGGGGGGTGATTTCTCACTTTTTCTCCCTCTGGCAAGCACATCCTATTTTTTAAAAATTGCCAAGAATCGGCTGCCAGAAAGCAGCTGTCATTTCCAAAAAGTTGTGGGTTATCAAATTTACAGAGACAGTTTTTTTAATTATCATTTTATTTAGTCTTATTTATCATTATTATTGCTTAATTTGCTATTGGGTGTGTGTGCTTACTAGACAGAGAGAGAGAAAGCAAGCCACCAGGTTCAGGACTCGAACTGTGTTCGACCACATGAGAGTCCAGCACCTTAACCACCACACTACCTGCTGGCCCTACAGAGACAGTTTAAATCACTCCTTCAACATTTCTTGCCCACTTTCAGGGCTTACTTATGTGCTAGACCCTTAATCTGATGGACTGACTAAACAAAAGTTAAGAGGCAAGTTGGAGGGCCAGCAGGTGGCATGGTGGTTAAGGTGTTGCATTCCCATGTGGCTGACCACAGTTCTAGTCTCGGATCTGTGGCTTGTTTCCTCACTTTCCCTTTCTCTCTCTGTTTCTCTCTCTGGTAACTATGGAAAATTTTAAATAATAATAAATAAAATTAAATAATTCTTTAAAAAGAGGGACCAGCAGTTAGCATAATGACTATGTCGCTGAACTCCCATGTAGTTGACCACGGTTCGAGCCCCAGACCCAGCTGCTGAAAAAACACACCAGCCATGTATACGTTCTGGCCCAAATCCTGAGAGGAGAATGGAGGAAAAAGGATTGATCATCTCCTCTGAGGAAGTCGCTGTCTCGCTGGTGAGTGCATGCACCCTGTAGCAAAAATCTCTCGAAAAAAATAAAAGAAAGAAAGAAAGAAAATCATTCCAGGTTCATGTCCATGCATGCCCCAAATCCCAAGAGAAGAGATTGCAGCATGGCCATAACCCCAGGGAGAGGGTGATTTCTTACTTTTTCTGCCTGTCTGCCTCCTGTAAGCACACACACCCTTTGGCAAAAACCTAAAAACCTAATATATATATATATTTTTTTTTTCCAAAGCGTAATTAGGCTTTTTTAAAATGTAGTTTGGACGGCTAGGTTGTCACAGAAAAGATGAGCTGAGTTCTGTGTTGGGCTTTCAAGCATGAGCAGGATTTTGCCAAAAGAGGGCTTTCCAAGTATAAGAAATAGCATGTATAGGGACCAACAGATGGTGTAGTGGTTACATTGCTGGACTCCCACAGAGAGAACCACAGTTCAAGTCCCAGACCCAGTGACTCAAAACTTATGCTGGCGTGTGTATATGTGCCCAAGATCCCAGGAGGGAAATGCAGGAGAAGGGATTGCAGTGTGACCATCCCCCGGGGGTGATTTCGCACTTTCCGTATCACTGTTTCTGTCTCTCTCTCTGGCAAACGCACGCCCTAAGGCAGAACCTCTACAGAAGTAGGATGTATACAGGCGCTGAGGCACTAAAGGGCCTGCCATACTCCGCGTGGCCTGCGCGTAGGGCAAAGGGCAGAGATGACAAGAGACAACAGTCAGAAATCAGACCAGGCAGGAGCTGAGGCCACACTGCAATAGGGGCATGACCGTCTGAGGTCATTAGGTGCCCAGGGTGGAGGGGACCCTGGTGGTGGGGATCCAGCTGGAGGCCTACAGGGACTTAAGACAGCACAGTGAGGAGCAACGGGGCTTTGGAGCTAGCTGGACTCATGTTCAGATCATGTGCCGCCCTCAGCAGCCATGAGGCCTTGCACCGGTACTTCATCTGAGGAGACTGTGCCGCCCGTGCACGGGGTCTCCATGAAGATTGAAAGTGTGCAGAACAACTGGGCATAGAGCGCCACCAGGTGGTAAGTTCTAGGTTTGTGTTGAGGAAAGAGACAAGAGGAGCAGAAAAGGAGTGCAGTCCAGTTCAGCCTCAGAGGTAGAGGAGTCAGTGGCTGCAGAAGTGAGGGCACCTCCCAGATAACCCAGCTTCTACTCTGGATGAAGGATGAATCAGAGGAGGGCAGGGATGAGAGAGGAAGGAGGAGGAGAGGGGCCATGCCAGGCACATGTGCATGAATGCTCAAATCCCAACAGGATGGAGAGAGGGAGAAGGGATTGTAATGTGATATCCACACCACAGTCCCCATGAGGGAGTACTTTCTCCCTCTCTCTGGCAAGCTCACATGCCCTTTGGCAATTAAAGAAAGAAATAGAAGGGGCTGGCAAGTGGCGTGGTGGTTAAGGCTCTGGACTCCCACATTGCAGACTGTGGTTCAAGTCCCAGACCTGGCAGTTAGCTTCTTTACTTTCCCTCTTTCTCTCTCTGTCACTCTCAGGTGACCACATGTGTCCTGTAGCAAATTTTAAAATAAATAATGATTTTTAAAGGATAAATAAAAATAAAAAAAATTTTTTGGAGAGATTTTCACTGTAGGGCGCATGCGCTCGCCAGACAGACAGAGAGAGACATAGAGACAGAAAGCGAGAAATCACCCCCCCACCCCAGGGGGGATGGTCACGCCGCAATCCCTTCTCCTCCAATCTCCTCTCGGGATTTTGGGCACGCACGCACACGCGCCCGGCGTGAGTTTTAAGCCACCGGGTCCAGGACACGAACCGCAGTCGACTACATGGGAGTCCAGCAACATAGCCATTACGCTAACTGCTGGTTCCCATAAAATTAATTATTTTAAAAAGGAGAAAATACAGATTTGAGAGTCCCCTGTGGTCTATGGGGACAGGGATCATGTTTGCTCATGACTATATTCTTGGTCCCTGGCAGAATGCCTACCCTATAGCTGGTGCTCCACTTTTTTGTTTTGTTTTGTTTTGCTTTGTTTTGGATTTTTTTTTTTTTTGCACTTTATCAAAGGAATATATTCAGGGTCAGCTGGTGGCATGGTGGTAAAGGCACTAGACTCCCACATGGCTGACCACGGTTCAATCCTGGACCTGGTGGTTTGCTTTCTCACCCTCGCATCAGACTAGAAAATAATAATAATAATTTAATTAAATAAGTAATTTTTAAAGAATTATTTAATTTTATTTATTATTAATATTATTCAATTTGACCAGAGAGAGAGGGAGAGGAGAAAGCAAGCCTCCAGGTCCAGGATTCGAACCATGGTCAGCCATGTAGGAGTCCAGCACCTTCACCACCATGCCACCTACCAGCCCCAGCTTCTAGATTTCAGATACTTTTGTAAACTTAATATACACTTATAATTTTTTCATCTTCAGAGAATATTTTCTGACGTCCAATAAAATAAGATAACCTTTTAGTGCCTCCTACTTTACCATCAAATTTTTTCCTTGCCTCTCACCTCCTGAAAACTCTAACATGTATTTTTTTTAATTTGTATAATAATTTTTATTGTAATTTCTAATTTCCATATAATAATACATCTTTGTGGGGTATAGTGTAGTTTTTCAAAGCATGTATATAATGTGTAACTCTTAATTTTTATATAATAATTGTTACCATAACTTCTAATTTATATATATAATAGCTACACATCTTGTGTTTATTTTTATTTTTAAACATCAAGATTGGTAACATTTAGGGGCCAGCAGGTGACATGGTGGTTGGGGCGCTGGATTTCCACATGGCCAACCATGGTTCGAGTCCCAAACTTGGTAGCTTACTTTCTCATTTCCCCTCTCTTTTTCTTTCTCTTCTGTTTCTCTCTGGTCATATTTTTTAAATAATAATAAATAAATAAATTTTTAAATAAAATATTTATTTAAATTCACTTGTTATTATTATTTTAGTTTGACCAGAGAGACAGAGGGAGCGAGAAGAGGAAAGTGAGAAAGCAAGTTGCCAGGTCCAAGACTCAAACCATGGTCGGCCATGTGGGATTCTAGCACCTTAAACCACCATACCACCTGCCGGCCTGAAATTTTAAAAAAAGAAATTTAAGAAATAGTGTGACTGAGACCAGCAGTTGGCATAATGGCTATGTCACTGGACTCCCATGTAGTGGACCGTGGTTCGGGTCCCGGACCCAGTGGCTTAAACTCACACTGGGTGCATGTGCATGCCCAAGATCCCGAGAGAAGAATGGAGGAGAAGGGATTGTGGCGTGGCCATCCCCCCTGGGGGGTGATTTCTCGCTTTCTGTCTGTCTCTCTTTGTCTTTCTGGCCAGCGCACACACCCTATAGCAAAAACTTCTCAAAAAAAAAAAAAAAGAGTAATGGTATGACTACAGGTTCTACATATATATAAAGGACAATAATAGAATATTATGAACAACTTATGCCAATAAATTTGACAACTTAGACGAAATGGATTCCACATGGCTGACTGTGCACTTCAAGTTCTAGACCCAGTAGCTTGAAAAACACCAGATGCATTTGCATGTATGACCGTAATCTTGAAAGGCAGGATAAATGGAGGAGAAGGGACTGCAGGGTGACTATCTCCCATGGAAGATGTTTTCTGGCTCCCTCTCCCTGGCCCTGTCTCACTGGCAAGCACATACATTTGACAAAATAATTTTTTAATTAAAAAAAAGAGTCATATATTGGGGCCAGCAGGTGGCATAGTTACAACACTGGACTCCCATATGGCTGACCACAGTTCGAGTCTCAGACTCAATGACTTGAAAATCACGCCAGGTGCATGTGCGTGCATGCCCCAAATCCCAGGAGGATAATGGAGGCAAAGGGATTGTGACGTAGCCATCCCTCTTGGGGGGTGATTTCTCACTTCCCTTCTCACCATCGCTGTCTCTCTTCCTCCAGCAAGCATATGCGCCCTAAGGCCAAAACCTGAAAAAATAAAAATAATAATATACAATGACCAATTGAAGTTTATCTCAATAATGCAAGATTGATTTAACATTTTAAAAATCAGTTTATTGGGGCCGGCAAGTGGTGTGATGATTAGGGGCTCTGGACTCCCACATGACCAACTGTGATTCGAGTCACAGACCCAGTGACTTGCTTTCTCCCTTTCCCCCTCTCTTCTCTCTCACTTTATCTTTCTCTAGTCAAATTAAAATAAATACAATAAATAAAGTTAAATAAAATAATTATTTTTAAAAATCAATTCTTTTCACCATCAACAGAAAAATAGAACATTACTCAGATGTTAATATATGATAATAAATGTTATAACATTACAGTGTATTAACAGAATATAAAATAAAAACCACATGATCAAATCAGTAAATGCAGAAAAAGCACTGGGCAAAATTCTAGGCCGGCCCTGTAGCATAATGATTAAGGGAACTGGATCCACGGTCACCATGGTTCGAATCCCAACCCCAGCAGCTTGAAAACATGTGTGTGTGCCCAAAATCCTGACAGAAAGGAGCAATGGATAAAAAATAATTGTGGTATGACCACATCCCACTGGGGGATGCTTTTTCCCTCTTTCTCTCCTCTTTCTCTTTCTCTGGCAAGCTCACAGGCCCTCTGGCAAGAAATTAAAGTGGGAAAAACACCAAAAAAAAAACTCCAGCAAAGTAGGAAAGGGAACTTCCTTAACCTGATAAAGGGCAGCTATGACGAAAATTACAGCTAACATCATACTTAATGGTGAAATACTGAATGCTTTCCCTCTAAGCTCAGAAACAAAGTGAAAATGTCCAGTCTCATTTCTACTCAACATTCTATGGCGATCATTCCCAGTGTAATAAGACAAGAATAGGAAATTGGGAAGAAAGAAGTAAAACAGTGTTGATACACATTATTGTCTATGTAGAAAATCCTATGGCATCTACCAAAAAAAGCGTTACTAGAACTAAATGAAGAACTAATAAGAGTCTAGTGGCTGGGGCCAGTAGGTGACATGGTGGTTAGGGTACTGGACTCCCACATGGCCAACTGCAATGTGAGTCCCAGACCTGGCAACTTGCTTTCTCACTTTTTCTCTCTCTCTCTCATACATGTATCCTATAGCAAATTTTAAAACTAATAATAAAGTCAAAACAAATCATTAAAAATAAAAAAGATAGCGGTCATACCAGATAATGTGGTATTTAAGTGGCTTGATCTCGCATGACTGACAATGCAGTTCGAGTCCCAGACCTGGCAATTTCAAAAACATACCAGGTGTGTGTGCATGTATGTTCAAAATCCCAAGAGGACAATGGAGGAAAAGAGATTGTGGTACGGTCATCCCCCACCTGGGGAGGTGCTTTCTCACTTTATCTCTCTCTGTCTGGTGAGCACACACAGCCTATAGCAAATTCTTAAAAATATTTTAACGTGATTATAGATCACAAAATCAATATATTTCCATATATTAGCAACAAACAGTTGGAAATTGAAATGATTTTATGTACTAAAATCATTTAAATGTCACTTGAATTTCTAATAGAACATTACCAGGTCAGGCAGAGGTTCCAAACTGAGTGAATTTCAGACTTTTTCTTCCATCCTCCAGTGCTGCTACAATACTCACGCCATCATAACTTTTTTTTGTTTTTTTGAGAGGTTTTTGCTATAGCGCGTGTGCGCTCACCAGAAAGACAGGCACAGACAGAGAGAGAGAAAGTGAGAAATCCCCCCCCCCAGGAGGGATGGCCATGCCACAATCCCTTCTTCTCCATTCTCCTCTCGGGATCTTGGGCACGCACGCACACATGCCCAACGTGAGTTTAAGCCACTGGGTCTGGGCCTCGAACCACGGTCGACTACATGGGAGTCCAGTGACATAGCCATTATGCTAACAGCGGGTCCACGCCATCATAACTTCTGTTCACACCTAGTTTATGGAAGAGCTGAGGCTATTGGTATTGATTATATGTCCCAGGGAAATTGTGTGCAGCAAAGAAAGGCAGGCCCTGAGATCGGAAGCCCAGGGAGCAGCAGTACTTGGGCAGCTGGCATTAGAGGAGAGATGCATTGAGGAAGCCAGGGGAGCATGGTGGTCAGGAAGGTGAAGGGTTCTAAAGGGGTCGCTGAGCTGGCCATTAGGGACTTCTCCATGGTGATGCCCTCAAAGCCACCACAGCTGATTCAAGATCTCCCAAACCTAGGCTGAAACATGCATGACCCAAATCCCAAACCTACGACCAGCCCCGCAAAGACCCCTACACCCAGCCTCTACATCTCTGGGAAGAGGCACAACTGTTTTGTTTTGTTTTTTAATTTGCTATAGGGCACTTGTGCCCACTGGAGATAGACAGAGAGAAAATGAAAAAGCACCCACCGCCCCCAGAGGGGATGGCCAGGCCACAATCCCTTCTCTATTCTCTTGAGATTTGGGGCATGCACATGTACACAGCATGTTTTTCAAGCCACTGGGTCCAGGGCTTGGACCACACAGTCAACCATGTAGGATCCTCTGGCTTTAACCACCATGCCACAGGCTCGCCCTCTCATCCTCTGGATATAATCCAAGGAGCAGTTCTCACTCAGAACCAGGACTGCCACTCCCTGCCACACCCCAGGTTCATGGGAACTTACCTTGCACGAAGACACAATCACCATGACGTCCAGCACTGTCCCCTGCCCATACCCTGGGGAGCAGAGTGTAGGGCAGCCTGGTGTCCCTCCACACCCCCACCCCCAGGGGACAAAGAAGGCGGAGTCTCTGCAGTAAAGACACCAGCCTCAGGGGCGGGGGTGGGGGGGTAGGTGGAGGTCTTGGTGGGGCTGACCTCCCCAAGAAGTCACTCAGTCTCCTCTGCAGAGAGTGACTGGAACTCATAAACCATCTGATAAGTGTTCGCATCCTGAGTTCAAGTACCTGGGATGTGGGCCCTGGCCTAAGGTCAGGAATAGACGGCCCAGAGAGAGTGGAGAAAGCAGGCAGAGGTGCAGGAGTGGAGGGTTCACTGGGGGTGTCCTGGAAGGATGAGCACAGCGCAAGGGTGTTCTGTTTCTTGAGTCAAATGTGCATGCCACTCCTCACTTCAGCCACGGCCAGCTGTGGCCCTTTGTATGTCGAGTCGGCGAGGTAGACGACACAAAGCCTGTCGGCAGAAGAGATCACTGCCTGTCAGCATTCCCCCTCGTGGAGAAGGGGGATGGATGGCGCAGGGAGAGTCAGAGAGGAGGCCAAGAGGGCAAATGGAGCGGGTAGGGCTGGTGATGCTGGGACAGAGGAGGGGAGGGGTAGGACAGGAGAGGGAAAAGGCGTGGGGAGGAGGTGGCTGCAGCAGTACCCCAGCCCTGGCCCCAGAACCCCACAGACACTTTCCCCCACCCTCTCCTCACTTCCTTCTCCCTGCCAGGTGCCAATGGATTTCCCTGCTGTGGCAAGGAGTCGGTGGATATCGTGGACACACAGTGAGAACCAGCTCCCATCATCCTAGGACCTCCCCCACCCAGCTTTCCAGGACCTCCAGCCCTCATCCCTCACACCTTGTACCCCCAACCCAGGATCCACCTCCATTTTGCCCATTTCCAAAATTTCCCCAAGGGCAGGATCTGGGCCAAAAGGCTAGCGGGGAGGAGGGGTGTCTACCATCCCCCTTCCGTTCTGCCTTTGACCTCTGACATTAGAGGAGGATGAGGGGTGAGGGGTCACGCTCAGGGACGGGGCCCCTTAAGGCTGCCTTGCTCTCTAAGGACAGAGCTGTCCCAGCAGGGGTCACAGTGGCCAAGCCCTGAAGACAGAGGCTGAGAAGAACTGGGGAAAGCTCCCTTCACACACACAGCCCTCTGGTCTGAGATCTGCCGAGCTGGGGGTAGCCAGTTGAAGGGAGGGCATGGCTCTGGGCTTCCCCATCTGTAGGAAGCCACTCGTGGACACTGGCTCTCAACCTGAGCTGCACCAGCTCACCGGCAGTGCTTGATGGAAACGGAGACTCCTTGGGAGTGTGGGAGGAGTCGGCAAGCTCTCCAGCACCCTCCTAAGCTCGCTCAAGTTAGACACTACTGCTCCGGAATCCTTGGAGGGAGTGGAGACAGCCATGGGAGTGGATGACAGGGGGCCTTGACAGTCCCTGTTTGAGGCAGGGGGCCTTGGGAAACCCGGGCACCCCTTTGCCCTTGAAGCCTCCTCATCCATCCCATGGATCCCTATCACTTACTCTGTCTCCTTCTGCCTCAGGAATGACTTCAGCCAACATCAGCTCCAGTCTCAGCCCCAGGTGGTCCAGGAGAAGGAAAGGGTAAGAGTGGCGGGTCACCTCTCACAGGGAGGTGATAGGCAACGGGCAGGGTTTTTTGAGGCCCATTATCCCTGCATCCTGAACAGTCCTTCTTGACAATTCTGGAAGCCCAGGAGCAGGCCAGTGCAGTCACACTCACACACCCACCCTCCCACACACCCATGCTGCCTCCTGCCCCAGGCAGGCCTCTGAGAAGAGCCAAGTGTTGGGAAGGCAGTGGGCAGTATCCCAGTGGGGCGGGAAGGACCTCAAGAACAGGGGTCCCAGTGCTTGCATCCTCAGATCTTAGTTGAAACTTTACAGCGGAAGGCAGAATTGCCGGAGCAGGAACCCCAACCCAAAGAGTACTTGGACCAAGCCCCAGACAGAAACTCTGAGCTGGAGGAAGACCAGGAAATTGAAAGGGAGCTCCAGGATATGCTGCAGCAGGAGTTGTGCCAGGTGCCGAAACCGGAACCGGAGCAGGACCTGGAGCCCAAGGATAACAAGACTACCTTGGAAGGCTGCAGTGAAGAAGACCCTGAGCAGCAGAGGTACAAGGTAGAGTCCCTCCACCCCGACTCGGAGGGGATGCCGACTCCACAGAACTTCGGATGGTGGAGCGCGAAGTCCAGCTGCAGCAACCGCAGCTCCATCGAGGAGGACCAGATATGTACTCATCGCTCCATCCGCGTACAGACCTCCAAGCACCTCTTCTGGGCGAACAAGCTCATCCAGGCCTCAGAACACAGCCTACAACGAGCGATAAACATGCAGATTGACAGGGACAGTGCGGACACTAAGAACACCAGCCCCCCGGGGCAGGAGTCCTCCACCAAGTACATCCAGTACTCCACAAAGCAGGTCCAGATCCTCAGTGCCCACACAACTCTTCCAGCCACAAGCACCCAGGACCCACCAAGCTCCCACCTGCCTGCCTCCAATCTCTCGCCCACCCTGGGCCTGGCAGAGCTAATCAACTTTGCATCTTCCCTGGCCATGGCCTCCTCCAGCAAGATGGACTTGCCCAGCTTAGAGCACATGATAAAGGCTCCACCGCAAAAGGCTGATCAGACGTCTGCAGAGCCCACCCAGCCCACCACAGGCAAGCAGGAGCCAGAAAAGTGCTCAGAGATGCTGCCAGAGAAAGCACCCAAGGCTGGGGAGCAGCAGGCAACTCGGAATCAGAAAGATAAGAACTTCCCTTGTTCTTACCTTGACTTCAGCAAGCTGGGGACCAAGAAGGCCACTATTGAAGGGGAAGTGAAGCTTCTCCAGCCACCGGCCACGTCCCCCCAGCTACAGGAAGCCAAGGAAGAGTAAGTGAGGCCCATCGCAGCTTCCCCGCGGGAGGGGCTGGGCAGGAATGTGAGGATGGAAGGAAGGGCTGGGCAGGGGGTGAGGGGGGGGCATGATGCCTAAACCTCAGTGACCTCATAAAGACTGCTGGAAACAAGGTTCCAGTGGCCTGAGGTGCAGTGCCAAGGCCAAGGCTGGAGGAGGCGTGGGGACCATGGAGGGTGAGCATCCAAGGCTGGGGCAGGGGCCTGGGTTCAAAGCGGACAGGGCCATGCTGCGTCTGGAAGCTCCCCCCGACCCCCGGCAGTAGTGGCCTCACCCACCTGGGACGTGCTCAGGCTAGAGTCTGCCCTGCTGAGAGCCCGAAGGCCCCAGACACTGAGCCAGGCCACTGCCGTCGGGGCGACGAGGGGACAGGTTTCTCTGGTGCCCCGTGCTTCCAGGTGATGCAAACACCAAGGCCCACTGCCCAGCAGTGGCCAGAGAAGGTCCTCACACCCCCAGTGACTTCATCGGCAAGGCCTCTGACTTCACCCCTTTCCCCAGACAGTCCTGCTGGGGCCCAAGTGACACTCTCTCTTTTGTGTTGCAGCTCGGTGCCGGAAACCAAGAAAGGGAATCCATTATTGCTGAAAATCCATTTTAAGCTGTCTTCCCCCTCCACCCCAGAGAAATGACTAGACAGAACCAGTAAAACCTCCAGTGCTGGCCCCGGCTCAGACTTTTTTGTGCAAAAGCTCCTGGACCAGCGAGCTCACCTGGCTGCCATGTCCCACTCTCATTTTTTTTAGGGATGCCACCTGCAATGTTTTGCTGCCTCAGCCCCATCACCCCAAGGGCATGGCCACCCCATGCTTGGCCCTCTGTGTTGGCTCTGCTCATCTCCCACCTACCCAGTCGCATTTCACTCCCACCTACCCAGACCTCTAAGGCGGCAGGGAAGACTCCTGGCCAGTCTTGGGGAGGTCTCATACTGGGAGAAGGGGCTTCCCGCTGGCCTGAACCAGGGGCGTGCTGGGGTCATGTGAGGAGAGGGCCGCCTGGAGATGGGACTGGGCCAGTGAAGGAGCCAGGCTGAAGGGAGTTCTTCCTACTCTCCCCACTGAGAGGGCCTGGCATGGGGAAGGGGTGGTGCCAAAGGGCTCGAGGAGGGAGAAAATGAGGCTGAAGGGCTGGTCCTCTGGGGGCACAGCCATGAGCTGGAGTGTCTAAACATGTGGGGGAGAGCGTGTGCGCGCTGGTGGATATCCATGTGCAACCCGTGTGCACACACACACAGGTACCATCAGCTGACCTGCACGTCACACACACACAGAGGAAGCACGCCCCGCACATGCCTGTGGCCCCGTCACATGTACAAAACATGCACACAAATGTACAGGTTTCCCCACGCCCAGGCTTTGGCCGTGGGGGCCCAGGAGACGGGCAATGTGGGGAAGCTGCTGGCAGAGGAGAATGGCAGCCAGGGAGGGAAGGGAACTCGAAGTGTGGATATGGACATGCATGGAAATGGGGTGGATGGAGAAGGCTGGGAGAGGGAGCTGGGAAGCCATGCCATGGAAAACGAGGAAGGCGTCCTGGACCTTGGTGGGCTTCATGGCCCACTGAGGATCTATGGCTGCCTGTCAATCAAAAGTCCAGCCATGGAGATCTTCAAGAGCCTGCCTGGCCTTAGGATAGGCCTGAGGAGGGAGGTGCCCAGGGCTGGGAAAGTGGGATCAGCAAAGATGAGCCCGTTGCTGGTGGGGAGACTAGAAGGGGGGACAAGGAGAAGGGAGGGCAGTGTTTCAGGAGGGGCTGGCCTAGAATTGTCGTTACGCTCTCCAGCCACCAGCCATGTCCCCCTGCAGGGACTCATGAGAGAGCAAGGGAGGCCCACCCGCAGCTCCACCCAGAAGGGGCTTTTCTAGTTTTGTCATCTTGCTGAAGTGTGTGTGTGTGTGTGTGTGTGTGTGTCTGTTTAATTTGTTACGGGGCACATACACTTGCCAGAGAGAGAGAGACAGAGAAAGACAGGGGAAGTGAGAAATCACCCCTGGGGGGACGAGCACACTGCATTCCTCCTCCATTCTCCTCTTGGGATTTTGGGCATGCACACACACACCTGGTGTGTTTCTCAAGTCACCAGGTCTGGGACTCATACTGCTCAGCCATGTGGGATCCAACTGCTTTAACCATCACGCCACCTAGCTGGACCCTTTCTGGGCTTTTTGTTTGTTTTATTTTTAGTCAACTTTTTTTTTTTTTTAATGAGTTTTAGGTTCACAGCAAAATTAAGTGGAAAGTACAGAGAGTTGAAGTACAGAGGTCTCACACACCCCTTTCCCCTCCACACGCACAGCCTCCTCCAGTAGCCTGCTTCAGACTAGAACATTCGTTACGACTGATGGACCTATGGTACACTTCACCATTACTCAAAGAGTATAGTTGACATTAGGGCTCACTTTTTTAAATCCCCTATTCCCAGAGGCCACATGGGCTTGCCAGAGACAGAGAAGTAGAGGAAGAAAGCATTCCCCAGGGACCAGCAGTTAGCATAATGGCTATGCCTCTGGACTCCCGTGTAGTCGACCATGGTTCACAAACCGGATCCAGTGACTTAAAACTCACGCTGGGCGTGTGTGCGTGCATGCCCAAGATCCCGAGGGAGGGGTGAGAAGGAACTGTGGCATGGCCATCCCCTTGGGGGGGGTGATTTCTCGCTTTCTGTCTCTGCCTCTCTCTGTCTGGTGAGCACATGCGCCCTAAGGCAAAAACCTCTCCCAAAAATAAAAAAAAGAAAGCATCCCCCAGTGGGGCATTGTCATGCCACAATCCCTTCTCATCCATCTCTCCATCTTGTTGAGATTGACAAAAAAAGAAAAAAATAATGCTGTCTATTTGGGCAAACAGGTGGCATGGTGATTAAGGTGCTGGATCCCACATGTCTGACTTTGCAGATCAAGTCTTAGACCAGGTAGCTTGAAAATCACACCAGGTCCATGAGTGTGCATTTCCCAAATCCCAAGAGAACAGAGGAAAAGGGATTGTGGCATTGTGCCCCCAACCCACTTACCCTCTTTCTCTGTCTCTCTTTCAGGTGGCTTGAAAGAAAAATGAAAACATTGTTATCAACTATAGAGCCATGTTGTGCAATAGATCTCCTTAACTTATTCCTCCTAGCTCCTCATAACCACCATTCTATTCTCTGCTTCTGTCTGCCCCAAGAGGATGGCCATACCACAGTCCCTTCTCCTCCATTCTCCTCTTTGGATTTTGGGCATACATGCACATGCACCCAGTGTGATTTTCAAGCCACTGGGTCTGGGACTCAAACCGCAGAGTTGGCCACATGGGAATCCAGTGCCTTAACCACCATGCCACGTGCGGACCCCAACCACCCTTTTGTTTCTAGAGTTTATTTTGTTTTGTTTTTTAAGTTAGCCTAATTATAGTCTTATCAATGTCATTAGTCTTTTCAAAGAACTGGTTTTTGGTTCTGATGACTTTATCAATTTCCTGCTTTTGATTTCATCTCTCGTATTTATTATTTATTTATTTTAGAAGTTTTTTCCTTCAGGCTTGTGTACTCCCTGGAGAGAGAGACAGAGACAGAGAGGGAAAGCAAGCAATCACCCCCCGGGGGGCTGGCCATGCTGCAATCCCTTTTCCTCCATTCTCCTCCCAGGATCTTGGGCACACATACACACACACCAAGTATGATTTTCAAGCCACCAGGTCCAGGTCTCAAACCGCAGTTGGCCATGTGGGAGTTCAGCAATGTAACTACTAAGCCATCTGCTGGTCTGTCATTTTTATTATTTTCATGCTGCTTAGTTTGGATTTAATTTGCTCTTCTTTTTCTAGTTTTCTAAGGCAGAAGCTTAGATTATTGATTTTGATACCTCTCCTTTCCTAAAATATGCATTCAGCACTGTAAGTTTTCCTCTGAGCACTGCTTTTGCTCTCCATTCATTTTTAATCAGTTAATGGGCCAGTAGGTGGTGTGGTGGTTAAAGGTGCTAGATTCCCACATGGTCAACAATCACGGTTCGAGTCCCAGACCTGATGGCTTGCTTTTTCACTTTTGTTTTCTCTCTTGCTCTGTCTCTCTCTGGTCAAATTTTAAAATAATAACAAAAAAAGGGAACCAGCAGTTAGTGTAATGGCTATGTCGCTGGATTCCCACGTAGTCGACCATGGTATAAATAAATAAATAAATAAATAAATAAATAAATAAATAAATAAATAAATAAATAAATAAATAAATAAATAAATAAATAAATAAATAAATAAATATAACAACAAATGGAATTAAATAAATAAATATTTTTAAAATTTTTTTGAATCAGTTGCATTTTCACTTTCATACTTCAAAATATTTTTAAATATTTTTATCTCTTGAAATTTCTTCTTTGACCTGCATATTGTTTAGAAAATTGCTTTTATTTGCTGCAGAGCTTGTGTGCTAGAGCTTCCCAAAGAGAGGGAGAGAGAGAATCAAAGTGAAAAAGCATCCTCCAGAAGGGATGACCATTCCACACTCCTTTGTCTTCCATTTTTCTCTTGGGATTTGGGGCACACATGCACACACGCCTGCCATCCTGACTTAGCATCCAGAGAGGAGTTGCCTTAAGGGAGGCAGAAACTCAAAAGAATAAAGCAGCAGTGCCCCAGCAGGGCGAAGTGGACTTGTGAGGGACAGTGCACCTACTGCCAATCGCCAGTCGACGTTAAGATCCAACGTGAAGGCAGCTTGGGCTGCAGGGTAGGGCACTGGGCCAGCCTCAGAGCCTGTGATTCTGCCTTTCAGGCAGCAGAGGGCAGAAGACCAAGAGATCCCCATGGACACAGAAAACCTACAGGTGACCAGGGCTGGAGGAGGATCCCTCTTCTTCACCCAGGGTGGGGAGTGTACCCAGATAGAAGGCTATGGGTGCAACCTGGTGTGGAGGATCTTGGGAGGAGAAGGAACTATGCTCCAAGAGGCCTGGTCCCGGGTGCCCTGGAGTCTGAATCCTTGAGTGGGCTGGGGCCCCTGCCCTTTCTTCTCCTGCCTCTTAGGCCTCCACAGAAGCCCCAAAGGCTGCTCACAGGAGATTCAGAAGAGCAGCAGGCTGGCAGAGCACAGAGAGGGAGGCTGCACCTGCAGACTGACCTGTTGACCCAGACGGAGCCAGCAGCTACCACGGCCATGAAGGCCGAGCAGACCCCACAGGGGGCAAGGGAATGCAAGAACACTGCAGCTACCTATTCGGAACAGTCAGACTCAGACTCTGGGTCTCAGAGGTGAGAGCAGGGACTCAGCACCAGACCTGGGTGCTGGGATTGGGGTAAGGCCTGCCTGGCCTTGGCATCTTTCTGTAGCAGGTGCAAAGGCCTTTCCAACCTCTTCCCCCTCGGGCAGCTTGACAGACAAGAATCTGCTGCCCCTGACACCCCGGCAGCTGGCAGGTGAGGGTCCCAGGGCTGGCAATAGGGAAGAAAACTGAGGGGTGCTCAGGGAAGAAGTATAAGGGGTTCTCGAGTCACTGCAAGATGCCACGGTTTGTAACCTTCCCTCCATGCCCATCGAATGTGCTTATCTCTGTGACTGTAGGGCTCACTGACCCCAGGGTGTGTGTGTGTGTGTGCGCGTGCACGCGTGTGCGTGTGGTGTGGAGGGAAAGAAAAGGAAACTAGATCAGCTGGGGATTAGATGAATGAAGGTATACGGATGGATGGATGAACAGGATGGAAAGGTGAAAGCGATCAGGAAAGAGGGGGAAGGAACAGGAAAAAAGAATCTGCGTTCCCTTGCTCCCCAGGGATCTGGGGCTGAAGAAGCCACTGCCCCAACTTCCCCAAAGATCATGTCCTGGGGTTGGCAGAAGCCCCTCGAAGCAGAGTCATTTTACTCGTCGTCAACACTCTAAGCCAGGAACCAGCAAGGCCCAGAGCGTTGTAGCTCCAGAGTCAGACTACCAATGTAACCTTGGACAGAATTCCTCATACAAACATGAGTTTGGGACATGAGAACTAATGAAGCACCCACACATAGTGACCACTTGTTCTTGGTATTGGAAGTTATAATGCCCAGGGAGAAAAAAAAAAAATGCCCAAGGAGTTGGGCTGACCCAAGTTATCGTTCCTGCCTAAGCTAGAGTGGGTGGCTCTTAGGGTTCCCACGTGCTCGGTTCATCTTGCTGCCTGCCCCCTCTCTCTCCTCAGCCTTCCAGGATATCTTCAAACTGTTCAGCTCCAGCCCGACAGGCACTGTGGACATGCGCAGTATGAAAGCTGCCCTGCGCCACGTGGGGATCCAGCTGAGTCCCCAGGACATGTGTGAGGCTCTGCGACAAGCAGACTTGGATGGTGGGTGCCCCCATCCCTGCCCACTTGCCTTTCTTGCCCACCCCTCACCTCCAGCCCTCCCCTGCCCACAGGGTTCTTTGCCTGGTCCTATTTTAAAGTTCCCTCTTTCGGGAAGCCTGCCCTGATCAACACACCTGCCCCATGGCCCTTAAACCTTGCTGCTGTGTTCTTCTTTGCTCTGAACTGGCTCCTGCAGGGCAAGGGCTATTTCTCCCCAAACTGGGGTCTACCTTTGACTAGAGGCAGAACCAGGTTCTCTAAACCCTGGAACTACTGGAAAGCCGCTGAAGGGTGTGCAGGGCAGACCTTCCGCAGGGACAGGCACTCAGCACTCCTCCACTCTCTTTTCAGGTGATGGAATTGTAAGCTTCAAAGACTTCTTGGGTGTCCTCACTGACAACCACCGCTTGGCTCAGTGCATGGGTGAGGGGCCAGGTTGGTAGGGCAGGGATGGGCCTGGCCTGGGAAAGGCTCCTTCTCAACCTCTCCTGTGTTCTCCACCCAGGCAAGGTGAGGAACAGTCGGGTCTGCGACCCCCAAGGCCTGCAGACTCTGTTCTTAGAAATGCTGTTCAAGCTGCT